CCAAGGCATGGGGCACGCGTGTGGCATGAGGCTCTGCATGCAGCGGGGTGACTGCAGCGGGAGTTGTTACTCCCATTACGAGGAATATATGCGAGGCGGTTCCGGAGGGAACGGTGCTCTCACCCTCTGCCCCTGCTCCCATTATTCACCCTCGCTATCACCAATCCATCCCTCTCCCCTGTCCCACGGTTACCGTCCCTCTTCCAGAGCCCCTGCTCATGGTGATGGAGGTGGCGTGGGTGGCATGCGGAGTGGGGAACAGTAGCAGCCCTCACAGTCCACATCACGCTACCCCCCTGCTTTCCGAGGCTCCCCACTCCCCTCTCTATCCCATCCCGCCCGTGCCTCCTCCAGAGCCCTTCACGGCCCATGCACGGGTCACGCATGTGGTTGGCGGCCCTGCATGCAGCGGGGTGAGTGCAGCGGGAGTTGTTACTCCCATTACGAGGAATATATGCAAGTCGGATCAGGGGGGAACGGTGCTCTCACGCTCTGCCCATGCTCCCATATCTTACCCTCGCTTTCTCCAATCCCTCCCTCTCCCCTCTGTCCCACTTCTACCGTCCCTCTTCCAGAGCCCCTGCTCATGGTGATGGAGGTGGCGTGAGTGGCATGCGGAGTGGGGAACAGCAGCAGCCCTCACGGTCCACATCACGCTACCCCCCTGCTTTCCGAGGCTCCCCACTCCCCTCTCTATCCCATCCCGCCCGTGCCTCCTCCAGAGCCCTTCACGGCCAATGCAAGGGTCACACGTGTGGCATGAGGCTCTGCATGCTGCGGGGTGACAGCAGCGAAAGTTGTTACTCCCGTTACGAGGAATATATGCAAGGCGGATCAGCAGGGAAGGGTGATCTCACCATCTGCCCATGCTCCCATATCTTACGCTCGCTATCTCCAATCCATCCCTCTCCCCTGTCCCACTTTTACCGTCCCTCTTCCAGAGCCCCTGCTCATGGTGATGGAGGTGGCGTGGGTGGCATGCGGAGTGGGGAACAGTAGCAGCCCTCACGGTCCACATCACGCTACCCCCCTGCTTTCCGAGGCTCCCCACTCCCCTCTCTATCCCATCCCGCCCGTGCCTCCTCCAGAGCCCTTCACGGCCAATGCAAGGGTCACGCATGTGGTTGGCGGCCCTGCATGCAGTGGGGTGAGTGCAGCGGGAGTTGTTACTCCCATTACGAGGAATATATGCAAGTCGGATCAGGGGGGAACGGTGCTCTCACGCTCTGCCCATGCTCCCATATCTTACCCTCGCTTTCTCCAATCCCTCCCTCTCCCCTCTGTCCCACTTCTACTGTCCCTCTTCCAGAGCCCCTGCTCATGGTGATGGAGGTGGCGTGGGTGGCATGCGGAGTGGGGAACAGCAGCAGCCCTCACGGTCCACATCACGCTACCCCCCTGCTTTCCGAGGCTCCCCACTCCCCTCTCTATCCCATCCCGCCCGTGCCTCCTCCAGAGCCCTTCACGGCCAATGCAAGGGTCACACGTGTGGCATGAGGCTCTGCATGCTGCGGGGTGACAGCAGCGAAAGTTGTTACTCCTGTTACGAGGAATATATGCAAGGCGGATCAGCAGGGAAGGGTGATCTCACCATCTGCCCATGCTCCCATATCTTACGCTCGCTATCTCCAATCCCTCCCTCTCCCCTGTCCCACTTTTACCGTCCCTCTTCCAGAGCCCCTGCTCATGGTGATGGAGGTGGCGTGGGTGGCATGCGGAGTGGGGAACAGCAGCAGCCCTCACGGTCCACATCACGCTAGCCCCCTGATTTCCGAGGCTGCCCAATCCCCTCTCTATCCCATCCCTCCCGCGCCTGCTGCAGAGCCCTTGGCAACGGTGCATCGTTGGGTCGCTAGTGTGGCTTGCGACGCAGAGTGCAATGGGATGGCCACAGTGGGTGTTGGGGGTCCCAGAACGAGGAGAACACGCGATGTGGCGCTGGGTGTACAGAGCTCTCACACCGTGCCCCCTCTGCCATATTCCACTATGAATATTTCCTCCTCTTTCCCTCTCTCTCCCATCACTCCCCTACCTAAACAGGAGTCCTGTTCATGGTGCTGGTGATGGTGTGGGTGGCATGCGACGCAGTGGTAGCCACAGTCCTCTCTCTTTTGACCTCTGAATTCAGCTCAACATTCGGAGTCACCATTCCTATTTTCTTTTCCTATCCACCCGTCCGTCGTAGGTTCATTTCGCCTTGGGGCGGGACCGGATGTGCCTAGAATGGCCAGACGATGCCATAGACTTCTACCCCACGCTCAAACAGCGTCTGGAGGTATTGTATCAAGTGATCAGCGAGACGCACGTCATCAACAAGACGCAGCTGCGAGAGGCGATGGAGGACAAGAACATCGTCGACGTCTTCAAGCGCGCTTGGACGGCATGGAAGAACGATCGTGGCTTCCACCTTAAGCGCAGAGTCCTCGTGACTTTCGGCAAGAAGGTGGAAGGCCTTCGTGCAGCCGATCTCTGGATGGGCACCAAGAAGAGGAAGATGTGGGAGAAATACCAACCAAGTGAGTACTCACTGGCGTTATCTGTTTTACTGTAGACATGTCTGCTCGTGCACCCTTCGTGCATGCCCCAGTATGATGATATAGTTCATACCCCTTATGCATCCCCACTTTGGCACGCCATTACGTGCTTGTTCATCTCCCAGTCTACCCTTTTACAGGCCCCCCTTTAATTTCCCGCCCTACCCTTCTCTGCCGCCATCCCGTTCTTTCCTGCCCTCCCTCTCTCTTCTGCCCTCCCCTTCTCTACCGCCATCCCCTTCTCTCCCGCCCTCCCATTTCTCTCCTGCCATCCCCTTCTCTCCCGCCCTCCCCTTCTCTCCCGCCCTCCCCTTCTCTCCCGCCATCCCCTTCTCTACCGCCCTCCCAACTTTCCTCCATTCAATTTTTACCGCCCTACCCTTCATCCATACCCGTTGGACAACCCACAAACATGTGTCGCATGATCACGCATCTCACATGCACGCCCCGCATTGTCATGCATGCGAGCAGGAGGGAATCAGCGGGTCAGCTCGTGGGGGAACAACAGAGACGGGCTCCCGTTTGCCAACGGCCGGTTTGTAGATGCGGTCCGGGAGGCATTTCGGAATCTCTGTGTCGGGCGCCGGGTGTGCGTCAAAGCCTACCACATTGCCTGGTCGATCATGGTGGTAAGAGGTTATTGCTCAACGGTCAATATGCTAAAGCTTTGCATGCTATTCTACCCCGTCGGCATGGTACGTGGGGCTAGTTGCGCAGCCCGTAAACTCTGCACGCGCGTGTCCACTAAAATCTCTGTTTCCCATCCTTTCCATACTTTGCTACCCTTTTTCAGATTGACCAGGGCTTGGCAAAGATTCATAAGACTGACTGGCACGTCTCGAACTCCCACCGGAAGAACACTGAATGGATGTCGGGTTTGCATCGACATGTGAGGTGGATTATCAAGGACCACTTTAGTCGCCACACCCCCGTTTACAACACAGCCGTGCAGGGTTTCAAGTGGGGCGACCGTGGGCTGTATGTTCACGAGTCCGGATTTGAGGCCTTCCGGAGGACCGCCGAGCCGGATGAGGAGAAGAAGGACTTGAAGGAGGAAGAGCAGGAGGTGTACGACGCGGAGGACATGGAGAAGGATGAGGATGTGGAGGAGGAGGAGGGGGAGGAGGAGGGGAGGAGGAGGAGGAGGAGGAGGAGGAGGAGGAGGAGGAGGAGGAGGAGGAGGAGGAGGAGGAGGAGGAGGAGGAGGAGGAGGAGGATGAGGAGGAGGAGGAGGGGGAGCAGGAGAAATGGAAACGATGGGGGCATGAGCGGAGGAAGGTCAAAAGGCACAAGACCTGCAAAAGCAGGGGAAGCAAGAGGGCTGTGAAAGAGGAGGCGGAGGAGGAGGAGGAGGACGATGAGAAACGGGGGGCGCAAGAGCTTAGGAGGGGCAGAAGGCAGGAAAGAGGGAAAATCAGGCGGGGTAGGAGGGAAGAGGAAGAGGAGAAGGAGGTGGGGGAGCGGGAGGATGAGAAACAGGGGGGCCAGGAGCGGAGGAAGGGCAGAAAGCACAAAAGAGACAGAGGCAAGGGAAGCTGGAGGGAGGAGGAAGAGGAGGTAGAGGAGGAAGAGGATGAGAATGAGGATGAGAGGCGGGGGGGGCAGGAACGGAAGATGGGCAAAAGACACAAGAGTGGCGGGAGACGGGGAGGCAAGGGGGCAAAGTGATGGAGCGACAAGACTTGGGGGGCTTGAGGCATGAGTGGAGAGTGCCAGGGGCGGAGCAACAGACGCATGAGAGGGCAGAACATTATAGGAAGCAGTGGACGCAGAGGCACGCTCGGCCTAGAGCACAATAGATGGGGTGGAGTGGCAGGCTTAGTGCACGGGAGCATGAGACGCTAGTAGCAGTAGGATGATGCAGACACTGTTTATGTGCATTTCTAGGTGGGAATAATAAGCCTTTAACTAGCCTTCTGTAATGTTTGTTTTGAATGCAAAGATATGACAATTAAACATATTTTACAAGAACATACCAAGTCTTGCAAGTCTCCAATCTAAGCTTATCATAATGAAACCCAAAGTCCATAAGGAGTACATTGCAATGAGTTCCGATCTCCGAAATTGCTCTGCGGAAACTCGATCCAAACTTTTTCCGAATGTTTTCAACTGGTTGGTTTGAGCGCCGAAGCATCGCAAAAGCATTTGAAAAGCGTTCGACATAGCATTTGGAAAGCATCCTATACTTTCTCATAAAAACGTTCGAAACACTAAGTTTGAATATCATTCGACAAAGCTCCAGAGTAACTATTCAACGTGGGTAGCAACACGTGGGTAGCAACACTGATTCAGTTCGACCTGGACCGAAAGTTTTGACATGCTTCACCATGTGTGAGAGCACGATTTACGAGATGGATAGCCTGCAATGCAATGCAAGGCACACATAGTTTCACAATGAGCTGCTTTGATGCCATGAGTTCAAAGATTTAAGCATTAAGAACACATTCCACAGAAGAGGTTACTCACTTCTCGCAGAAAGTCAGCTTCAAGCAACTTGGCTCGCTTGACGGCCCACAGTGTGGTGCCATCGCGCGGAGACACGCCCTTGTACACGTCACCAAAGGAGCCCGACCTCAGCTGGTTGTCACTCGCCCAGTTGCTGGTGGCTGTGAGCACTTCCTCCAAAGAGTACTCCGTGCAGTGCGAGGCCGCCACGCTGCCAGCCAGACCTGCTCGTAAGCATGGGATGAAAAGAGAAAGTTCCGTGAGTATCGTGCCATAGGCTCGAGGGAACTTGCAAGTACTTGACAATGCTTACCAAGTGTTATGTACTTGCAAGTTGCAATATAGATTGTAACTGAAAGGGCGAACGATGATTTAATGTAGCTTCTTCACATCAGCCCGCCAACCCTTTCAATGAGAGGGGAAAAGGGCGGAGGACGGAAGAAGGGAAAGAGGTTGATTTCATTGCTACCTTCAGAATGCCTTTGTAACACATCCGTGCTCTCTTTCGCTGGTGTAGCTGCTTTTCCATTCACTGGATTTCCCTTGAACCCCCTCCTCCACAGCAGCCAGCTAACCAGCACCAGGAGCAGCAGAGAAGCCACAGCAGCCACGGCAATACCAGCAACAGCTGCTGCAGACGTATTGCCAGGCGGGGAGGTGGGCGTTGCGGTTGATGGGGAGGATGCTAGGGAGGCAGTGGGGGGAGACGTGAATACTGTGGTGCTCCTTGGGGATGGGGAGGGGGCCGCTGGAGGAGGTAGGGGAGGGGATGGATATTGGAGGAAATGGGATGGATACGGAAAAGGAGGGGACAGACAGATATGGGTTTGGAAAGAAAGGCGGTAAGGTAGGAAAGGGACGTGCTGGGGAACACAGCTACATCTAGCACAGCTTAAAGTAAGTTCTGCCGATTAAATGAATTTCGAGTCGCTTGATGTAGCACTTAAGTAAGTAGTTCCAACTGTAAAGCAGCAGTGATGAAGGCCTAGCGGGGTTTTGTCCCGAAGGCCCAAACTAGTTTGCGAATAAGAATTCACACAAAGTTTGAAGGTTTTGAGAACTACTTGAATTTCTGGGAGCAACTTCTCAGTCTCGATCCTTTCGCTTAAGTGTTTCCTACAGGTTTGTCGCTACCCCGCAATGAACTTGGATCCTAACTAGTGCCACTTGTATTTATCTTTTAGTCGACTCAAAAGCCATCACAGTGTGCTGAGGAGCACATCTGGCTGGCACACAAGTAAGTAGTGCTGATTAAATGTACTGAGTTGGGTAGTATGGCAGTGGAACCACTGATGATTCCCATTCAAATGATAGTTCTCATCTCATCTCATTTCATCTCGTCGATTTGCAATTTGCATATAGACGCCAGGGAACTATACGTCGCATGCATATGCAATGCGCTGAGGGTTCATTCTGAAAATATTGCTTTGAATCGGGCAGGAAAAAAAAAGGGGTAAAAGAAAACATAGGGGAGAGCGAACTTCTACTCAGCCAAGCAGGCGTCCGCCAAGGAGACCCCCTCGGCCAACTGCTCTTCACATCAGCGGCCTTTCCGACAGTCCTCTGCCTGGAGAACGCGGACGTGTCACATTCCTGGGAGCAGCGGCTGACTGTGCAGCGGCTGACTGCGCAGCCGCGTTCAGCCAGTGAACGTTGCAGCTGGTGGAAGTAGGGCTGGCCACAACCCCACCAAGTGCTCGGCATGGAGCAGTGCGGAGCTTCGACGCCGATACGGTACGGTCCGACCAGATGGCGCGCCATACAAGCCGGAAGGGCTACGCGTTCTGGGAAGCCACACAGGCACAGCAGATGGGTCATCAACGTTCCTACGGGACCAGCTCGCCAAAATGGACGCCACCCTTCCCCTCATTGCGGAAACGGACCCCCAACTGGCGAACCTGCTGCAGACCAGATGCATCTCAAGACAGATCCCATACCTTGCATTGCACGCACATCAGAACAACTCTCCACGTCCTCCCCGAAGCTGAGTGGCCCCGGCTGGGGCCAGGCACAACTCCTCACCCTCCTTGACGCTTGCGGCGTTCAACTCCTCACCCTCCTTGACGCTTGCGGCGTTCAACTCCTCACCCTCCTTGACGCTTGCGGCGTTCAACTCCTCACCCTCCTTGACGATTGCGGCGTTCAACTCCTTACCCTCCTTGACGCTTGCGGCGTTCAACTCCTTACCCTCCTTGACGATTGCGGCGTTCAACTCCTTACCCTCCTTGACGATTGCGGCGTTCAACTCCTTACCCTCCTTGACGCTTGCGGCGTTCAACTCCTTACCCTCCTTGACGCTTGCGGCGTTCAACTCCTTACCCTCCTTGACGCTTGCGGCGTTCAACTCCTTACCCTCCTTGACGCTTGCGGCGTTCAACTCCTTACCCTCCTTGACGCTTGCGGCGTTCAACTCCTTACCCTCCTTGACGATTGCGGCGTTCAACTCCTTACCCTCCTTGACGCTTGCGGCGTTCAACTCCTTACCCTCCTTGACGATTGCGGCGTTCAACTCCTTACCCTCCTTGACGCTTGCGGCGTTCAACTCCTTACCCTCCTTGACGATTGCGGCGTTCAACTCCTTACCCTCCTTGACGCTTGCGGCGTTCAACTCCTTACCCTCCTTGACGCTTGCGGCGTTCAACTCCTTACCCTCCTTGACGATTGCGGCGTTCAACTCCTTACCCTCCTTGACGATTGCGGCGTTCAACTCCTTACCCTCCTTGACGCTTGCGGCGTTCAACTCCTTACCCTCCTTGACGATTGCGGCGTTCAACTCCTTACCCTCCTTGACGCTTGCGGCGTTCAACTCCTTACCCTCCTTGACGATTGCGGCGTTCAACTCCTTACCCTCCTTGACGATTGCGGCGTTCAACTCCTTACCCTCCTTGACGCTTGCGGCGTTCAACTCCTTACCCTCCTTGACGCTTGCGGCGTTCAACTCCTTACCCTCCTTGACGATTGCGGCGTTCAACTCCTTACCCTCCTTGACGCTTGCGGCGTTCAACTCCTTACCCTCCTTGACGATTGCGGCGTTCAACTCCTTACCCTCCTTGACGATTGCGGCGTTCAACTCCTTACCCTCCTTGACGATTGCGGCGTTCAACTCCTTACCCTCCTTGACGATTGCGGCGTTCAACTCCTTACCCTCCTTGACGCTTGCGGCGTTCACCATCCGACCGAGGGGGGGCGGCGGAGGACAGCGGGTGTGGGGACAAGAGTCCCTGCCACCCCCTCTCGGAGGGCTAGGCCTCACAGACCCCTCGGTCGAAGGCAGATACAGTACAGCTACCTCGCCAGCCCCGTGCAAGCGCAGACATTGCTCAGCTCCTTACCAGAACCCGCCGGCCTCCACCTGGCAGGCACCCTGGCTCGTCCAGCCGCCGATAGCACTGACCAGCCGCCGACAGCACTGACCGGTATCGACTGCAAGGCTGGCTTCAAGACACATTGGACCAGGAGGCTAGGGAGCTGCTCGCAGCAGAACGGACTGCCCCAGCAAACCGACTGCAGCACAGCCTCTCACTCCTCATCCAGGGCAACCGCTTTGCCGCACAGGTGGTAGCGTCAAGGCAGATGGAGCTGAACCCGCAGGCAGGCCACACACAGCGGCTACTGACTCTCACAGGACATGGGGCCAGGGATTGGCTGCTGCCCCTACATGTCCTCCCTCCGCCTCAGCCCGGAGTTCTTTGCATTCGCACTCCAATTCCGGCTTGGACTGCCCCTCCCCGTACCAGACCGCTGCAACTGCCGCAACAGGATCCGTATCCTGGACAAGCGACTCCCCAACCTTCTTCGCTGCAGCACGGGACACGGCCGGACCGACGGACAACCACAACGGAGTGAGGGACGAATGCGTGCAAACGGCACAAGATGCGGGTTTCACGGTGCATAAGGAAACTACGGTGTTCTGCATGAAGGTCCCAGCCTTCCTCAAGCTGCTGGCTGACACAAATGCCCGCAACCTCTTCAACGCGGACCCAACGACATAACCTGCAGCGAGGGCGGCCGCTGAATTGCTGCGTCCGTTCCGCCAACGGTGGTCCGTCGCCCTGCAGCGAAAGCAGGCGCTAAGCTACCTGAGGGCTATTCTCAGGTTGAGCTTCAACGTCAAGAAGCTCAATATTGCAGCCCAGGTTGAGAACCCGCCTGTGGTTTAGACTATGGTTTACCTATGGTTTACATAATTGAAAGGACCATTCGAGAGAGGGAGGGAGGAAGGGTCGACATGTCCTTCAGTTATCTTCAATCACAAAGTAAAGGCTCAATTCATACGAGATGAGGGTCAGTGGAGTCAGCCGCAATGAGAAACGCGCATCAGAAATGCACGACAGCGCAGAAACGGAAGGTGACAGGAAACTGTAAATATGGGGTTGTGTTGTGTTACAGAGGTTGAGCAGGATCTTGTGTGGAGGGGGTGGAGATACACACTCACTTACTGTATGGTGAACGCGAAAACAGTGAACACATGTTGGGAAAAAGGATAGTTTAGCGCGTCTTACATGCTGCTGCCTTGACACAAGTGGTGCAGAAGGAGAGGCACGAGCTGCAAGAAGCGCTTTGAGGATTTTGTTCGATCACGCATGGGGTGAAGTCAGCAGGGCATGTAACAGTGTTGCCACTAAGATTTCTGCATTGCATGTGCAGAAAGGAGACATTGCAGTTCAGAATCACTCAACCTCAATTGTTGTTAAAAGACGTGACATTCATGGCAGCCGTATGGCAGCATGCTGCTTGCAGCGTAGATGGATGAATGGGCTGATTCACAGTTACGAAGTATGGGTTTTGACTAAAAAAAAACAGTCCGTTTTTCCAGGTCAAATTATTACAAAAAAACACAATTCTTTTGTTGAGGATTCTGGGCACCCAAAAGGAGAAAAAAAGGTCAGGTACATTTTCAATCATGGCCACAAAGAAAATCAAGCAAGATTAAGCTAACACATTTGTATACGATGTCAAATTTGGCCACCGCATCCTCACAAGTGAAGAGCATCCTCACAAGTGTCGAGGATCACTAGAGGATCGGGAAGGTGACGAAGTAGGTAAGAGAAGATGGTGAGCTCAATAAGCTCAATCTCTCGGGTCTATGACGCGGCTCGGCTCCCCGCGACGAACCGAACACAAACGTATTCGAGCGAACTTGAACATGTTTGACCCGACCCAACCAAAATTGGCAAATTTTGTTCGCCTATTCAAGTTGCCTCAAACATGTCCGTGGCAAACTTAACAGGTGATTGTTCTTTTGCTCAAGCCGATCAAAACTTCAGAACGCACAAATACATGATCCATCATTAAAAGAAGGCTTACATTCTTCCATCCTGAGCCAAACCGCATCCGTGCCAAAGACGTGCAAGCGAGGCCCGGAACGGAATTGGCTCACATATCAAGCCAGGGAAGAATGGCACTCACAAGGACTGAAGATTCGTGAGACTGCCAAATGACGCAGGAATGTTGCCTGCAAAGCTATTTGAGCGAAGGTTCCTGATGTGAGAAGAATGAACAGGAAACATATGGCCACATAAGTGGAGATATACTACATTGTTAGTCAAAAGAAATTGAACAGTGAGTGACAGATAAAGATTTGCCAATTCATAGCTTTCATAAACCAATGCTTGTTGTCTTCGAATGCACCAAATATGCACACCCCCCTATTATGATCGTCTTGACATGCCAAAATCCACCACTCACCCACAGTATAGTGAGGTCACAGTTGAAATAGCAACCAGTCCACTCCATTCACCCCGTACTCACCTTCGCGGTCTTTGTGGTATGCCATATGATGCCATGTAGGCCATTGTTTCAGCCTGGCCCACATGTGCAACATGTGGCTTCAACTCCTACATTGTGAAGGCTGGCTAGCCTTGACCTCGATATTGAGGTGCTGCAGCATATACGATGGCGTGCCATATATGCCTTCACCATTTTACTAGAAGATGGCACTGGAAAAACAAAAAACGTGGTTTTCATATCTTGTGTGATGTCAATTTTTTCTTGATACATTTTCAGAGGAAAGATAAAAACATATATGGCTTAGATGGGTACCTAAGTCGGTTCAATACGTTTATGCATGGTTCAAGGACCTCTCCAGGGTGAAAAATTTCGCCGAATTTTCCAAAAAAAATGGAAAACAAATCGGTCTAAAATTAAACCCATCTTGGTGACAAATATATTTCTATCTTGGTGAAAATTTTCGCCCCTTTTATATTGATTAAGTAAAAATCGTATGTAACTGGCATTTTGCCGCCAGATCTAGGCGGATCTGCCATTTCGGCGCCAGTAATATATTGGCAGCTTTTTTGAGGTCTCCACAATTTTGCCAAAATTTCACCAGTACAACAGGGGGAGAAGTTCGGCGCAGCCTGGCCTTTCACTCTCAACTGTCGGAAACATATCGTGGGTGGGGGTTGAGACTCAACCTTGTGTGAGGGTATCAACATTCAGCCCTTCCCAATATGTGTCTCACTCACAAACTGGTCAAATCTTGAAGGTTGCTCAATGTGGGTAATATTGAGCCAGCCAGCCTGTTTTGTCCAAAATTCCTGCATTTCATATAATCAACCATGTCAAATACGTAATAATGGTTGCCAAATCCATGCTAACGTGAAGTTGGTGAATGTATGAGCAAACACAAACCCCTGTTTAACTCAACTCGAACCTGTTTGATCTGAAGTACACATTTTTTTTCCAGACATGGTTTTTCTTTTTTCCAGCTCGACCGGAGGTTGGGTCAGGTAGAACCTGGCCCTGTACCCCTAGGTAGGTCAGGGTCTCCAACATCCTGGCCCGAATCTGGTCGTGACATTTTACTAAACAAATACGGTTGTCCTTGACATTTCACTAACAAATACAATTCTCCTTGACATCAAAATTAAGGCTGAAAGTTCTATGCTAAACAAACACATGAGGCTTGGGAGACTTAGCCCATCCATGCTACAATGATGCATGTGCCACATGGGTATGATGATCAGCTATGGCTGTGTGGCGAACGAGAAACACCATTCACTCACAAAGTTCGAAGATTTGTGAGTTCAGAAGTGGATTCAGGGATCGTGCCCATCAAGCTGTTGTAAGAAAGATCTCTGATGAGGGGACAACGAGGTACGCACGCAGCAGAACTGTTTTTTAACATGTTACACGGTCATGTAAATGGGCCACACATATATATCTCAACACTTCCAAACGCTACTCTCCTCTTACTATACTTACTAGTTGACATGAGCTTCGAACCGAACTTCAGATAGGTTCAACAAGCCCATCTCGAAGTCGAGCCGAACTAGTGGTTGGGGGTGGTCAACTGGTTGGTGGGATCGGCAATGTGATAGACTGATCAATTTTTTGCTTGAGACGATCTCGCCATTACTTTAGCCAGACTAGCCAATATCCAGTCTGCCTTACTGCCCTTCCACCCCTTCCCCTCCTCCATGGACAAGCATATAAGCATCAATGTGCAGATCACCAAAAAATAACACACACACACACACACACACACACACACACACTCTCACTATCTCACACTCACACACTCGCACACACACACTCTCTCTCTCACACACACACACACACACCACACACAGAGAGAGAAAGAGAACAATGAACGTATTGTATATTTTTGGACGACCACTTTCTTTACAACCGTTTTTTCCCACCTTGCTCAATCCAGACGCATCGTGTATCAAACGCAACCGTACATGTGTGATGACCATACTCCATCTAAGTTTGAAAATGACGCCATCACACAATGCAGTGTACTGTGTTACGATATACTCACACCAGCGTCAGCCTGCTCATGTGCCATCACAGCAATGTCAGCCTGCTCATGTGCCATCACAGCAATGTCAGCCTGCTCATGTGCCATCACAGCAATGTCAGCCTGCTCATGTGCCATCACAGCAATGTCAGCCTGCTCATGTGCCATCACAGCAATGTCAGCCTGCTCATGACTTTTGAGTTGACTCAAAAGCCAGCTCAATATACTCACAGCAATGTCAGCCTGCTCATGCGCCCAATAAAGGTTGGAATGTTTCCGATTGCACCACTCTCGTGCAGATCCCTGATGGGATGTAAAAAGGGATTACATGGACAAGTAAGGAGGAGAACAACATGAAGAAGGTAAGGTGGGGGGGCAGTTACTGGATAGCTTAGCCTGTGCAATGATTAGGCAGCAGCTCGGTCCTTTGAGCCGGCTCTTCGAACTGCTTGTTACTCTGCCTGAGAAGAAGTCAGCCTTCGGAGGTGTTTCAAGCTGCGAACCACACGGTCAGCACTTTGCAACAGACTTGCCCAAACTCGCCGGCTTCTCACGACATCACAAGGGGGAAGGGACAAAACAGGCTCTCCCAAAGGCATGGAATATTTTGTTTATGGTCGAGAAACAGTCTGGATGGAAGCGCCCCCCGGCACGACACTCTGATTGTGGTACGAGCCAAGCCTGGCAATTGGCTGACGATGAGCATGAGCTGCCCCCGGCTCACAAGCCAAGTGACTGAATGGTTGAGCTCACAGGAAACGGAGATCCGTGAGCTGCACAATGGAGAGTCTTTTGGTGAGGCGCCTCAAAAGTTGACATGTCAAGGTACTGAATGGCGGAGCTGAGCTTACAGGAACCGGAGATCCGTGAGGTGGCTAATGGATTCTGGGATGCTGCTCTGCCACAGTCGGTTCACCCGAAGGTTCCTGGCGAGGCGAGCATTGGATTGGATGGAGGGACACATGTGCCAGAAAAAGGGGGGTGTTTGAGAAAGGGAAGGGGTGGGGAAGGAAAGGGAAAGGGAAGGGATGGGTGGGGAGGGGGTGACTGCCCCGCCACAGTCGGTTCACCTGAAGGTTCCTGATGGGAGAACATTGGATTGGAGAGGACACATGTGATTGGAGGGGACACATGAGATTGCAGGGGACACATGAGATTGGAGGGGACACATGAGACTGGAGGGGACACATGTGATTGGAGGGGACACATGAGATTGGAGGGGACACACGAGATTGGAGGGGACACATGTGGCCATAGAAAAGGGGGTTGTGTGAGAAAGGGGAAACAAGTCAGCGGAGGTAGGGTGGAGTGGAGGGAGGTAAGGGAAAGAAAAGGGAAAGGGAGAGGGTGCGGGAGGAGGTGAAAATGGAAGCAAGGGGGGGTGAGTGGGGGGTGGGGGAAGGACAGACAGCCGCTGACTGTTTTTTCCCCACTGTAGCCTGAAGCGGAAATAAAGACGTCTGGACAGCAATTCATCTCTTTGGAAAATACCATTTTCACATGAAGTGCTGGTGGAAGATAAGAAACCCACGTCTGGATCAGTTCATGAAGGTAAAGACGGTAATAATATGGTCATCATGCGATGTGAGTGTGCAAATGTCAGAAAAAAACAAAACAAAAAAAATAATAATAATAACTATTGATATGCCCGCACTTAGGGGGGAGCTAAAAATGCGTGTTCTCTACGTGTCATGAACGGAATTAAAGGGATGCGGCGAATATGATTGGAGATGTGACGCTTCCTTGGCTAACGACGAGCACTGTGCAAGAGAGTGACATTAGCTCAGCAGAAAAAATCCAACAAAGAGGCCTCATTCACCACAGGCAAACTACAGAATACTATCGCAGCACAGACATTATCATGAATGCCTGCGAGAAGGAACAACAGTGAGAGTATGGCCTTTTTTGGTGTTAGGAGAAACAAGCTGGTTTTGATCAAGTCGGAACAAAAGATCCAAGGCCAGAGCACGCTTTGCTGTGCCAGCAACGCAAGACAGCAATAAGTTAGGGCTGACCAGGAATTCCACGCTTCATCGCAAGCTGTCACGGTAAAAATAACTGGAAAGAAATACCATCAACACCATCAACACCATCACTTAGGGAGAAGAGATTGAAATCGCTGTTTTTAGTGTCTGAAAAATAATCATGATATCCTCCTTCCATCCTTCACCCCATCCCTCCCCACTACTCCCCCTCCCCCTCTCCAAACATCATTCCTGCGTCCCCCTTCAGTTTTCCCTAAGTTTCCTTCCCCAGACCTTGTTGAGAGAAAGAGTTCATGTTTGTTTAATTCCAGTTTCCCTTATTAAGTGTGGGTTTTTTATTGCTAGTGCAAACGCGCTGAAAAGAAGAAGAAAATAAAAACGGCCGCTGTTTACAAGGGAGGAAGAGGAAACACGTGTCCTCGTATCATAGGATAGGGTGCACTCACAAATGCGTCAAGCTGGTCAAGTTGCCGATGCTTGAAGGAAAGGACCCCAGTAAATAGGCTCCTCCTAGGTCCCTGCAAGGGAGTGCAATGGCTGAAATGCTCTCCTTGATAATCAGGTTTGGAATGGTGTGTTATGCAGGCATACACTACATATGGAAGAGAAACTAGGATGAAGGATGCAACTGTGCGAGAGAGGGGAAAACCAACAGAGGAAAGAGATTGGCGATGGAAGTGGTTGTTCTCTATGTTGTATGGAGAGGTGGCGTTGCTATGTGGGAGCAGCTTTTGACTAGGCAGGGAAGCAGGCAGCAAGTTGCTCTTGTCGAACATGAAGTGAAGAGAGTGAAGGAAGGCTGACTGAAGAGAAGGGAAGGCTGACTAAAGAGAAGGGAAGGCTGACTGAAGAGAACGGAAGGAGAGGGAGGGTGAGGGAGAAAGGGAAGAAGAGAGGGATCTAGGGACAGAAGGAGCGGGGAAGGAGGGAAGATAAGGCCGCGAATACTTAAGATAAACTCAAATGATATAAAAATGATATTGAAGTACGGTCTCACATGGACGTTATCATGCCCTTGGCATCGCACGTGACGTTCCTTGCCTTGCTGCAGTCCCCACCAATCTCCCAGCCGCCGATCGTTGTGTTCCACGCCTTCTGACAGTCCAGCAGCACTTGCGCTGGCGGCGGGAGGGAAGCGCAGGGGATGGGAGAGACGGGATTAGATGCTCTCACTGTGGCTCATCTCAAGGCCGCCATGTGCTGTGTTTGTCTAGGTAAGAGGAACGCTGGAGAAATAATGAGGAGGGGGCAGGGAGCAGCGAGGAGGAGCCAAGCAGAGGCTCTGTGAGCATCCGTCCTGATTCCATGATGTCTCCTCTCCCATCTTCTCCTCTCCCATCTCTCCTCTCCCATCTCTCCTCTCCCATCTCTCCTCTCCCATCTCTCCTCTCCCATCTCTCCTCTCCCATCTCTCCTCTCCCATCTCTCCTCTCCCATCTCTCCTCTCCCATCTCTCCTCTCCCATCTCTCCTCTCCCATCTCTCCTCTCCCATCTCTCCTCTCCCATTCTTTGCCTCTGCTTTTCTGGCGTACTCCTCTCCTCTCCCGCCTCCTCTCTACTCTCCTCTCCCACCTCGCTCTCCTCTCCTCTCCTTCCTCCTCTCTCCTCTCCACTCCCACCTCCTCTCTCCTCTCCTCTCCCGCCTCCTCTCTCCCCTCCTCTCCCACCTCCTCTCTCCTCTCCTCTCTCACCTCCTCTCTCCTCTCCTCTCCCACCTCCTCTCTCCTCTCCTCTCCCACCTCCTCTCTCCTCTCCCCTCCCACCTCTCTCCTCTCCTCTCCCACCTCCTCTCTCCTCTCCTCTCCCACCTCCTCCCTCCTCTCCTCTCCCACCTCCTCTCTCCCCTCCTCTCCCACCTCCTCTCTCCTCTCCTCTCCCACCTCTGCTGACCGGTGCTCCCTAGCGTCGGCTTGCCCAGCCAAAATACCATCTCTCACCGACTCACTCTCGCTAAACATGGGAAAAAAAAATCTAGTAGGCGAGTTATACTCGCCTCAATGCAGAGATTGAGGGAAAATGCATGTGACTTGCGGGAGGCGTATAAGCGTAACTGGAATGGCAATTCATGGAATATTCGAGTCATATGGATTACTCGGATGAAACCGATAAGTGAAAATAGGTGCATCATTGTCCAGTGGCCATTGCGAAGATTTCGCTATCTATCCGTAAGCACGGCCCGACGAACAGCACAACACACAAACCCTGGGAGTTGGCGAGTGCGACGCTGTCGACTCGAGGAACTGCGAGAAATGTCAGGAGGAGCACCGCGCCGAGCTGGAAGCCTGCGCGCTCTATCACGCCGCGATGGCCACGTTAGGGTATAAGGGGAGGGGAGGGGGAGGAGACATGAAAAATAGAGTCAAGAGGATGGGAGGGGGAGGAGACATGAAAAATAGAGTCAGGAGGAGGGGAGACGGAGGAGACATGGAAAATAGAGTCAAGGGGAGGGGAGAGGGAGGAGACATGGAAAATAGAGTCAAGGGGAGGGGAGAGGGAGGAGACATCATGGAAAATAGATTCAAGGGGAGGGGAGAGGGAGGAGACATGGAAAATAGAGTCAAGGGGAGGGGAGAGGGAGGAGACATGGAAAATAGAGTCAAGGGGAGGGGAGAGGGAGGAGACATGGAAAATAGATTCAAGGGGAGGGGAGAGGGAGGAGACATGGAAAATAGAGTCAAGGGGAGGGGAGAGGGAGGAGACATGGAAAATAGAGTCAAGGGGAGCGGGGAGGGAGGAGACATGGAAAATAGATTCAAGGGGAGGGGAGAGGGAGGAGACATGGAAAATAGAGTCAAGGGGAGGGGAGAGGGAGGAGACATGGAAAATAGAGTCAAGGGGAGGGGAGAGGGAGGAGACATGGAAAATAGAGTCAAGGGGAGGGGAGAGGTGGAGACATGGACCATGGATTCAAGGGGAGGGGAGAGGGAGGAGACATGGAAAATAGTGTCGGGGGGAAATGGAAATGGAAAATCATACAGTCAAAGGGGAAATTGAAATGCAGTCAAGGGGGGAGGAGATGGGGCGGAAATGCACTTGCATGCAAGGGAGGGATGGCAGGCACTAGGGGCTGCATTTCATAGAAAGTGTTGTGCTGCACCGGAGAGTAGAGGGTGTCTGTCTGCAAGTTTCAAGACATCTCAAAACTCAAAAACTTTTGAGATGTCTCAACACTCTGCGCGGAGAGTAGAGAGTGTCTGTGTGCATCTCGACAGAGGGGCGATGGGCAGATTGGAGAGTCGGGGAACGGCAGAGCACGGCGGAACGTTGTACTGCTAGCAGCAACCGGGCGGGATGGGTACCTCTGGGCAGACAAACACCTTCAGGCCGCTTCGCTACAGCCTCCATCCGCTCTCTCGCTCCCCTCGCCTTCCCCTCGCCCTCTCGCCCCGCCCCCTCGCCCCCTCGTTCCGTCCCCCTCACCCCCTCGCTCCCCTCGCCCCCGTCGCCCCCGTCGCCACCTCGCTCCCTCGCCCCACAGGATCACTGATACTTGCACCGCGTGGTCGGCGCGAGGAAAGACTCTCGCTGCGAGCGCCGAAGGCCCGGCGCACGCATGGTGATCTGAAGGCTGCTGGTTCGTTTCACCCGCTCCTGCCTCTCATAGACAGCTACAACGCTGAGCGAATCCCGACGTAGCGAATTATGAGAGAGCGACTTCGTGCGACGACTATCAAAGCGCGGCGCGATTGATGGGTGAGGTTTCCGCGCTGACTTTTGACCTAGCAAAGTCGCTGCGATCCCCACGTACACGGCCGCGCGGAAGGTGAATTAGGAATTGAAGGGGCTACACAACGGGGACCAGAATGGCACAGTGCCATCCCAAAATGTGTGAGGCCGGGGTGGCAGGTTTTTTAGGGTTTGCTATGAAGTAACTTTTAAACTTGTACCTATACAGGTTGCTTCACTCAGCTCGCGGCTCGGAAATCGGTCGGTTGCACCTTCATCGAGGTTTCACCGCGAGCATCGCGAGCAATATTTCGGGCTTCATCGGCGAAGCTTCGGAGGGTCCCTTGCGAGCGATTTTATTGGGCGTTCGTTTCGGACCTACTGCTCAGTTCGAACCCCATGTTCTGGTTCGAGCAATTCGAGCCAGGGGTCGAATTCTGTCGTGAGTGGAATCCCTGGCTCACAGTTCTAGTTCTGGTTCTGGTACACAAAGGCCTTGTTCGGTAGGCACCCAGTGCGTCGCACTGGCGAACCCTTCGTGAGGCTTCCTAGCCTCGGGCCTCAACTCACACTGAAGACACCTTCGTCTTTGGTGTCGTGGAATTTCGAGACAACAACGAAGTACCTTCACACCTTGGGAAAACAGCGGTACTACCCCCACTGTCACTCGTACTGGTGACAGCCCATTACAGGGGGGGACCCCGAACTGGACTCGGACTGGTTTTTGCCAGGAGAAGAAAGTTCTTCCCCAGCTTCGCCACGGCCAGTCCCAACGTAGTCAGACTGGAAAATTGAGGCGTTCGGTAGCAAATTCTCACTGGGTAGGTTCGGTGTTCTGCTAACGAGTTTATGGGCTTTAAGCATGTACACATTCGAACTGGGGAACCTGCCCTGACCCATCCGCAGTCCGACTAGGCGGTCTACCGAACAAGGCCAAACAGTAGCATGAAATGGATTTCGGCGCACTTCCAGGAAGCAGCTTCTCGCCAGGGGCTCGACTCTCTCGAACTTCGAGCAGCTCCAACCAACTTGACTCGCAGAAGAGCATTTCAGTTCCCGTACATTGCACACCCAGTTACAGTAGAGATTTGCTTTCAAATAGTAGTTAAGACTATTGATTGCCTCTTGTGATTTGTGAAACGTTAGATTTAACAAATGAGCATGTTTAAAGCCAGGAACTCAAGTAGTTTGGCTGTTTTTCAGTTGGTGAATTGCGCTAAGCTCTGATTGGCCGACGAGGTAGAGTAGTTGACGAGAGCTGAAACGAGGGATGCGAAGCCAACAAAAATCGCAATCTGCTTCCGAACCACCTAGGCACGGAAATCTGGTATGGTTCCGAAGCTGTTTTCCCAGCAATGTTTCTCAGCTGCCGAAAAATCTCATGTACAGCAATTTGTTTTGCAATTGAGATTCATGGGCAAAACAGAAATCTGTCGCACACTAAACCTCCAACCCAACCATTCGATTTCGCCTACACAAACAGGGTGACTCGAGCTGCAAGTGTTTTGCAATTGAAGCCAATTTCTCTTACTTGAGATCCTGGCTTTAAAATAAAAGAGTAAAAATTCAGAGTTCGGTAAATGGTGATATAAGGATGGAAACATGGGTGTAACCATTGAATAAAAAATGAATGACCATTTGCACCCATAACTACTTTAGGGCGTGTAACATTGCAACGAACATTGTGAATGTTCGTACACATGCGCGGGCTGGACGAATTGCGAAGAATTTAGGGTAACGCTCAAAGATTTGTTAAAAGTGTAATCACCTTGACATGACTTCAGTTCAAGGGGAAATTCAGACCCATCCACAGTGGGTCTAATGTCTGGCGTGCCTACTGCATTCGCTAAGCACTCCTGTCCCATCCGGCCCTCTGTGGTATACGGCCACACTCAAAAGCGGAAAGGGTAGTCGAGGCTTTTTTCTAGGGTTCTGTTTGTAGCTTTTCGAGAACCCTTTCGGACTGGCGAACAATGTGGCTCTTTTGTTCGAAATGTGTGGCGGGCCTCGCGGATGCGTTACACTGACTTCGCAAATCGTCCAACCAGCGCATATGTTCGAACACAAGCCATGTTCGTTGCAATGTTCCACGCCCTTGTACTATGAAGTAGTTGGTTGTAAGGAATTTTCTCGCCATTTCTTACTGCGATCTGCAACAGCGCATACGGCCGCATCCGTTGTTCGCCCGTTACTGCTAACAGGGCTTCGCCAACTTCGCGCGCACTGTTTCACCAAACCTCGCACTACTTGCGGAGATAACTCTAGCAACGGGAGCCTGACTACGGGGAAGGCACGTGTGTGAGAGGGATCTCTGCGTTCGTTCACTTAGTCGTTTCCTTGTGCGCACACTGCTTGCTAGTTCATAAGGAGAATTGGCAAGAGTTCCACTAGGAAAACATCACAACAAAGGTTCAGAATGATAGCAACAACGTTGGCAACACAGACTACATCAGAGCTAGCTAGGCTGCTGGTCGACCTTGAACGCAGCACGGTCGACCGCGTTCCACCGCAGCAATGCTCGCACCGCTCTAGCGTTGCAGAGATGCGGTGCGCCAACGTTGCATGTCCACGGTGTGCCAACGCTGCAGCAAGTCGGCTGCACAGCGTTGCACCCGCAGGACAACGGTGCACCTGCTTCGCAGGTGTGCGCGGCTGGTTGGCGTCCAACGCCCCGTCACGTGCCCAGCGCAGACATTCCCGCCCGTGACGGAGCCCATCAACCACGTCGACTTCGTGATACCACCCCCGAGGTCGTCCTCGCAGAAACCACCCCCGGCAACCTTCGCACAAGTCGCCCGGATATCTCGGTCGACCGGGCAACCCCGCCTGGTCGTCCAGCCCAGTCGGACGCCGGCTACGCCAAGCCCGGCGTCCCCAGGTCGGCGTCCTGGCGTCCTGGTCGGCGTCCACTCGCCCAGGACGCCGTCCAGGCGCCCAAGCCGGTGTCTAGACGCCCGGGACGCCGAGCAAGCGCCCAGGTCGGCGTCCAGCCTCCCCGGACGCCAAGGCGTCACCCAAGTCGGCGTCCGGAGGCCCAGGACGCCGAGCAGACTCCCAGCTCGGCGTCCAGCCTTCCAGGATGCCGAGTAGGCGCCCAGGACGCGGACATCACAAAAACCCTGAGCCAAGTTTGGACGAATTTTGATTGCGATTGTCTTCGCGTAAAAAAATCCGGACCCAATTTCGACCGACGGTTGGAGTCGTTTGATAGGAGCTCCGACACACATCTCGCGACAAGGCTTGGCTCGGGTCAAGTTCCAAATTGGCACGCGTGCTTTTCCGGAAGACATTCGCGCGCAATCCGTTTTGGTGCAATTTCGTGACCAGATCATTTAAAATATATTTTATTTTATTTTTTAGTTATGGGCTTGAGGATCTCAGAATTACATTCAATATTCCGGTTTACAGCAACCATTATTCAGCATTGTAACAACAAGCAGTTTTAACACCTAGTGAAATAGCCTACTCAATGGTGGGCCCTGCAAGCGCCCGGTGGGCAAGAACAACATCTCCAAGGTCGCCATCGTCGATGAGGAACTTGTTCGGGAAGACGAACGCACCCCGAGCCGGATCGTGTGGGATGCGTCGCTCCACGACGGCAAAGTGTATCATCTGTTTGACCTTGTCACACCATTCGAAGTAGTCCGGCCTGTTTTGTTCCGGCTGGGCCGGAATTCGCTTGCGGCGCTTGTCCTGCAGAAGGGGCCACTCGATCTGCAATGTGGTGTAGGGTTGGGTGGATGGTGTATGAGGGGGGGTAACTGGTATATGCTCCAGCTGAACCAGGTGAAGACGACACATCCTACGTAACCGCAAACGCCTAAGCGACCAGGGATTTAGATGAAGTACAGGCAAGGGGTTTAGGGGATGATGCATGGGTGTAGAGACACATATCTACCTCCTTACCGAAAACAGGCCCCATGCCACCATGCGGCTCTTGAACTTGGTGAACACGACCCCGCTCCTCTTGAAGGAGAGCTTGAACGCATAAGCAAACAAGGGGTTGCTGAAGGGTGTTCCGGTGGCCTTGTCAAAGTGCCAGTTGAGGGCCCACTGTTCTGCATTTTGGAGGGAGCGTATGGGTTGGAAAGGGGGTGCAGATAGATCAGGTGGGGGGGTGAGAGACAGGGTCAGAGTACCACGACACGGTTATTTGTAGCTGCTGACTGGCTTATGGGCAGGGGGATATGGTGTGTTTGAGACGCACATACCATCTCTGTACTCCGCCAGGAGTTGCTCGTCGTTGAACCACTTCTTTGGGTGTAGCTCAGTGGGCAGGCAATCCACCGCATTGGCGTAATCGGAGAGACCCATGCCGGCGTACGTTGCTGGCCTGAGGGTGGTGTTGATTGTTGACCTGGTTGATGACATCTGGTGGTTGAAAACACCCATGGTTGACTTGTCGTTGTGCAACCACAGCAGCTTCATTGACTCTAGCCCCTCGGCAGACAAGTGGACAGCGAAGGCCTCGAACACTTCCTCCGGTGCAGGGTAATACTGAATTTTCTCCGGGGGGTTCAGAAACAGGAGCTGAGAGCACACTAAGTAGGCTTTGCTCTGCGCAGGGGTGTGGGGTTTACAACACGACACGGGGAGAGAAATTATGAGTAATGACTGTGGCCGGGTGACCACAGGATGGACTGTAGGAACTTTCCACGTCAGCCCCCACCCCTCACATCCCGCCACGTCACACCCTCCTGCATCCGCCACGTCAGGGGACAACAACCAGGCCCACGTGCCACGTCACACCCACCCACCCCATGCCACGTCACCCCCCCACCCACCTGACATGACCAGCATCGTCACGCGCCACTCCCGTGTAACCTTCCAGGCCGCCACGTCAGCCCCAAGCCTCACATCCCGCCACGTCACACCCTCCTGCATCCGCCACGTCAGGGAACAACAACCAGGCCCACGTGCCACGTCACACCCACCCACCCCATGCCACGTCACCCCCCCACCCACCTGACACGACCAGCATCGTCACGCGCCACTCCCGTGTAACCTTCCAGGCCGCCACGTCAGCCCCAAGCCTCACATCCCGCCACGTCACACCCTCCTGCATCCGCCACGTCAGGGAACAACAACCAGGCCCACGTGCCACGTCACACCCACCCACCCCATGCCACGTCACCCCCCCACCCACCTGACACGACCAGCGTCGTCACGCGCCACTCCCGTGTAACCTTCCAGGCCGCCACGTCAGCCCCAAGCCTCACATCCCGCCACGTCACACCCTCCTGCATCCGCCACGTCAGGGAACAACAACCAGGCCCACGTGCCACGTCACACCCACCCACCCCATGCCACGTCACCCCCCCACCCACCTGACACGTGTCGCCTGGTCCCGCGCCGCTCCCGTGTAACCTTCCAAGCCGCCACGTCAGCCCCACCCCTCACATCCCGCCACGGCACACCCTCCTGCATGCGCAAAATCCACCAACGACCATCCCCACGTGACACGTCACACCCACCCTCCCCATGCCACCTCACCCCCCACCCACCGGACACGCGTCGCCTCGTCCCGCGCCGCTCCCCTGTACCCGTCCAAACCGCCACGTCAGCCCCAACCCTCACATCCGCCCACGTTACACCCACCCACCCCATGCCACGTTACCCCCCACCCACCCCATGCCACGTCACCCCCTACCCACCTGAAGGCTCTCGCCCCGTCATGCGCCGCTCCCTTGCATCCGTTCAACACCACCACGTCATATCTCAACCCTCACCTTTTTTGCCACGTCACACGCCCTTGCGTCCGCCGCCTACACCAACAGCTCAACCCACTTGCCACGTCGCACTCAGAGATCCGAAAGAGCCACGTCAGCCCCACTTGTGGAGCCGCGTGTCGCCCTGCACCGCTCCCGCGCACCCTTTCCAACCGCCACGTCATCCCCAACCCTTCCCTGGTTGCCACGTCAACCCCAACCCGCCACATACCGGGAATGGGTTGGTCTCCCGAAGCACAAGCACACGTGCCCTGTCCACGGCACTCATCGGCGGCGGGGTACCAGCCATAGGCACCACTGCAGTCCCCCCGGCATAGCTGGCAGTTGCTCCACGACGCAGGCCGAGCTGAGCAAACATGGCGTACATCTCAGACCGTAGCTGCTGGAACTCGTCTCGTGTAACAAACTGCCCATGCTCTGCACCTTCGCCCAGCGCATCCATGACATCCGGAAAAGGGTGTGTAGAAACCCCTCTCTGGCCTTGGGGATCAACGTCTTCAGCAGCAGCCCCGTGTGCCCTCACACTATCACGCTGGCGGGGAAAGGGAGGCTCAGGGAAGGGATTGGCAGAAGTGCTTGGTTGATGCCCGCGCGATGGACCAGCGAGGGGGGAGACCGCCCTGCCCCGGACAGGAGAAGCGTGTAGTGGCCGAAATGGGTAAGAGGGAGAGGCGAGTGGGGAGTGCGTGACGGGGGCTGGTGGAGGGGATTCGGATTCCTCTCCTGTAGCCGCGCCGGGTGCAGTCGCAGCGACTTTGCTCGGGCCGGAGTATGGCGTGAAGAACCTTGGTGCTCCTGTGGATAGCGGTGCCACACTCGCTCTTCCGGCCCCTTTCGTTAGCTGCATCCGTTGCACGCTTACCGGTGGCCCAATGCCTGTAACACGGGGGGCTGAGAGTCACACGGAGGATGAGCACGGAGATGGTGTCTGCTATGTACATTTGGACACATGCACGCAAACGAGTAACCGCATGATTCAGACAGGGGTGTAGCTGGGAACTGTAGTGTATAGTCACGCCTTACCCGGTTTAGCCGATTCGTCAACCTTCTCCTTCCCTGCGGCGGGGAAACACGGGGTGGAACACGGTGTTGTTAGGGTCTGTTCATCACAAACCACGGCAGCTATGCCATGCGTTTGTGACACTTTGCGTACCTCGTTGCTGTCCCTTCGGTTTTGCTGCCTGCTCCTTATCGTTGCCCCCTTTCCGCGGTGTGCTTCGGCGGGTGCTGCCTCGTTTACGGGCAGGTTCCTTCTTTGCCGAACCTACAGGTACCCCTTTCGCGCGCCTTCCCTTTCCTTCTCCATCGCCTGCCCCACCCTGTCTCCCTTGCTTCCTTCCACCCCGGTCAGTTTCGACCTTCACTTTACGCGCCTTCGATTTGCCCGCTGGGCCGCCACGCATTGCGTCAACCGCCCCGCGTTTCCGGGATTGACCAGACCGGCCCCCCACCTTCCCTGTGCCACTCCCCCGTCTGCCTCGCGCGCCCCGTCCTTTCCCTGCCGGCTCCTCCTCCTCCTCCTCTTCCTCATCCGCCCCTTCCTCCACCTCCTCTTCCTCCACGTCGTCCTCCTCCTCATCCTCCTCCTCACCATCATCCTCCTCCTCCTCCTCCTCCTCCTCCTCCTCCTCCTCCTCCTCCTCCTCCTCATCCTCCTCCTCCTCCTCCTGCTCCTCCTCCTCCTCCTCACTCTTTTCCTCCTCAGGCTCGTCATCCCCCTCATCGTCCTCCTCCTCGTCCTCATCCTCATCCTCATCGTCCTCCTTCTCCTTCCCCTCGTCGCCATCCTCATCCTCCTCCTCCTCCTCATCATCGTCGTCCTCCTGCTCATCCTCGTCCTTTTCTTCCTCCCCTGCATCCTCGTCCTCCTCCTCCGCATCCTCCTCGGCCTCCTCCTCCCCATCCCCCTCGTCCTCAACATCCGCTTCACCAGGGCCTTCTTTGCCGCGCTTCGGCCTCTTCCCCCTCGAGGCTTGCTTGCCCCCCCGTCCGCTAGATGGTTTCCGCGGACCGGGTCGGCCCTTTTGCCGCAAAGCATGATCTGTCGCCAAGCCACTTGGCTCCGTGGTGCCTCGCGTTGTCCCAACTTCAGCACCACCGGCGTCGTCACCGCTGGCTGTCGTCTGCCTCCTCTTTGCGCGTATGGGGATGTCCTCGGCCACGGGGGTGTCATACTCCTCCTCCCCATCGCTCTTCCTCTGCCTACGCCTCCCGCGTCCCCCAGAGGGAGGAGATCCACCGACGTCGGCAATGTCGTGTTTCGGCTCCTCCGTGCAATCGTGCGCGGCATTCTTCTCCTTATCTATCACTTCAGCAGATACTTCGACCACGGGCGGGGGGAGCAGCGTCATATGCTGCTGTGATGCCTCTGCCACGGACACCACAGTTGCGGCCTGGTCGTCGCCGGAAGCCTCGCCGTGCTTTCCTCCAGTCGCCAAGCCCTCTCTGTCCCCCGGCCGGACGGCAACACTCACGCCGCCACGCCCAGGGTCTTCGTTCCCGCCGATGGTGCCGTCGTCGGAAGGACCGGGCTCGAGGGCAGCAGTGGCAACACCCGCATCGCTCTTCACGGCCGAAACACGCTTGCGTGCCGTTGGTTGCTTCCCCTTGTCCTCCGCCTTCTTCCCGGACTTCTTCGTTCCAACCTCAGCCTTCTTCCCCGCCGCACGTTTCCTTTGGTTGGTTTGCGCGGCGGCCGCTTTAGTAGCCCTAGATCTGGCCCCACCCTCATGGTCGGTCTGTATCGACATCCGCCGTGTCGTGCGTCGTTTTGCCTGCTCCTTCTCCTTTTCTGTTTGCCGAGTTGCACGTGTCATGAGGGTTGTACGAATGCAAGTTATAACTTGCGGGATTGTTTAGCCAGCTTTAGAAAATAGCCGAAAGGATTGTTACTAATTTACTCCGTGCCGGTCAAGCCAATACTGTCTCACCCTAAATCTCAGGTACGGTTACAACTGAAGAAGTAGCTACTAAGCACATGGCGTCAGCCCTTTGCTTCGTCGCTACTCTGACTCACTGGCGATCTGGAAACACCTGTGTTCAGCATCGAGCGGCGTCAAGGTAGTGGGTATGAGGGTGACGGAAGATGGTGAGTGGGGCACGACGGTCGTTGGGGTGGTTTGCGAGTCTAGAGAGGGGACTGTAAGCAGACAGCCACAATCGGACGGTCTACGATTAGCCACCCGATCAATAACCCACTAAACGCGGGATCACAGCCGCTGCTTCCGCGGCGAATGTCCAGCTTGGCTGGTCCGGTCATGGGGAGGGGGGTCGTTTGAGATGCGTCGGCCAATCAGCGCCGCTCGCATCAATCTCCGCAGAATCTAGTACCGTTTCGACACCACCAATCATCGCATCCTGCAAAATACAGTGCCAATGTGCATTGATCAAATTTAAACATAGGAGCAGAATACACTTGCAAAGAACAACTAAAACCATTTGTATTGAACTTGGCCGCTTGTGGTGTCATGTTGTGTTAAGTCTAGGGAGTGCATCTGGCATCGGACACGCTCTTTGACCTACCAACTCGTGGACTATGGAATGCTATACTGAGCACACATTCAGGGCTGGCGACGGATACCGGTCGTTGGAACTTGTTCAGGCACGACGTGTACTAGTGCCAACTGGAATGTAGATGTGGTGTGGTGTTGGCGTGTAAATTCATGCGTGGGCCCTCGACATGGTGTATAGAGGGTGTGGAATGAAGCACAGGTCCAACGCACGAGAGAGGGTGCGTTATCGACAGCGCTGTTCCAACGCGGCGACGTTGCAGCGTTCGCAGACATACAGGGCTTGCGCGAGATGGTGAATCCGTAATGGAATGGTGCTGGCTTGGGCTCTATCCTTGCGTGGGCCCTCGATATGGTGCATAGAGGGTGTGGAATGATGCACAGGTCCAACGCACGAGAGAGGTGCGTTGTCGACCGCAGCGTCTAAACAGGCGACGCTGTAGCGGTCAGGCCTTGGGTGTTGCGCAACAAGGTGAGTCCGTTGTGGTACGGTGTTGGATTGTCCTCTAGCCTTAGACAGATATTCAAGTAGGTGCCTCTAAGGGGTATGAATGAGAGGCCCAACGCACAAGCGGCGATGCGTTATCGTGAGGGCACGGAGTTCTTGTGTAATTCCCGTATGTAGCCAGATCACACAAGAGATGAGAGGATATGGTGTTCAGACTGTCACGTTGTCAACTAGGGGTGGATATCGAGCAGGTCTTTTCATATGACTATGTCCTAGTTATCAACAAAGACTTTACTCTGTGGATAAAAAACAATTCTACAATGTACTATCATTGTATTTGGGCTATGGTCAAGCGCAACACTATGCGCTCACTTACGTGTGCGCGATTTCCCCCCTATAACGCTTCGCGACTGAATCACAGATCCAAACGGATCTCTTCCCGCTCTTCCTCATCCCACTCGACTCTCATGCACCAAGGGTGCGTGAATCCACAGGCACGTCGTTCTCACCATGCTCGCAACGCACACACACGACCCACCGTCTTAAGATCAGGCGCATTTCCCGCTGCTCACGACGTGGTCTGTCTAAACGGGGGCGACACGCCTTGTAGGGAAGACGATCCGTGCTGTGAGCGGTCTGTACCGTGCCTTGTCACGACCGCGCGGCTCGAACATCGCTTGCCAGTCCCAAACATCGTTAAGCGGCCCGCTCAAGTGCCAGTCGTGCAGTGATACAAGCCGCCTTCGACAGTGCGCGGTTTGGCGATGACCTGGTTGCATTAACAGCCTTCTTGAACGGTGTACTTAATGCCTTCTCAAGCTTCCCACGACGCTAGTTGCTTCACAGGCCATTTCTCAACACTTAGACAGATCCGTAAAGCATGGGCTCCTTGCCTGGCGTCGTCTGCGAGTTCTGCAACAGATGGTTCCCCAACGCCCAAGTTTATGGCGGTCATAAGTCACGGCGGACCCCTTGTCAAGGCCTTTCCGCCGTGGCAAGGCCCTCGCGATCTGCACCGTCAGCCGGTCTACACGCACTGCTATTCGTCCACGACATTCTGTCGGACGCTCCCGCTGCTCCCGCTTCCCCTACCGCGTCTAACGCGTCCAACACCGACGGTGTGAATGGTCCTCCTCGCGTCCCGGTAGCTGACGAGGACGCAACACCCTCGGCTGTGAACGTGGGGGCTCCTGAATCTGAGCATCAACCGTCACCAGAAACACCTGCAGATGACACGAGTGAGCATCAGGGGTGCCGCCCTGGAGTGAGTCACGCGGCACCGCCGACAATCATTTCCGGGGAGAGCAATGCGACGCCCCTCAGTCCGATTGCGTTGAAACTGCTGCATTTCGTGAGGCGCGTAAATGGCGGAATGGGCATGGCGGAGATCGACATCAATGGCCTGCTTCAGCTCGTGGTGGAGCCCGGCCTTGCGCCTCTTGTGATCTCAGAGATCCGGAACTGCAAGGATCTGGAGCGGTTCGAGATGGAGCGCTTGGTAGGGCTCAATCGCGGATGGTCAGTGGCGACCTTCGAGATTGAGGGTCATCCGCCACAGCGCCTCCTCTTCCAGAACTCCGCGCAGGTAAGCCGACTCTGGAACCGTGGATGCGAACTGCAGATTCCGCATCCTTGTGGAGCTTGTTGGGAATGTTGCATTTGTTAGGCATGTGTGCGATCTGGCCCGTGAAACGCTCCCGCCACTAAACCAGGGTTTGGTTCTCTCCCGCTCTTGATCCCGCACTCCAGGCGTTTGCTGAACTGTTTGGGCACACCAACAACGCACCCGGCTTCAAGCTCAAGGCTCGTGTTGATGAATTGCCTGACACAGGCGAGCGTCGCTATACCACGCCAGAAACAGGAACGTGGTGGAACGATGCTCAGGTATGTAAATACCCCGCTGCCACCCAAAACCACACGCGTGCGCATGCGTCCGTTGATGCGCTGATGTGTAGGCAGCATCTTCAGTGCGTCATCTTCGTGGGGAGTTTTTTGTATCAGGCTCAATCCGCCTGGCGACACTTTACCTTGATGGTGTTTGACCGTGTGTTGTTTCCGTCTTTGTCGTGCAATGCAGGAACACTTCGGATGGTCCGAAGTCGTGGGGGGTATCATCCTGTATTCGGATGTGACGCACATGAGCAACAACGGCCGGAAGAAGGCGTGGCCGCTCATGATGACGCTTGCCAACATCTCCCAGGCCAAGCGATGGGGGAAAGCCGGGCACACGCTACTTGCTATCCCCCCTTCTGCAATGACTGCCGTCGAGAAGGTGATGCTCTTCCAGCGATGCGTCATCACCGTGCTGCAGCCGCTTCTTGATGGCATGGACAGGTCCGTACTCGATTTCCGTCATGCTATGTCGTCACCGTAGCAACAGCATAGCGTGCGCAGCGTTTTTGTATGTTGCATTACCCTTTGCCCCTCCTCGCTGATGCACAGAGTCGTCCTGGCTGTTGCTGTTCCCACTCTACCCGTTCCTCGCACCGGCCTCCGTCTCAAGGACCCTTTCGGCAATTGGCAAACAGTGCGGCCACTGCTGTACGCCTGGGTGTGCGACTACCCCGAGAGCGGCAAGATCAGTTGCACACTCTCGCATGGATCGCGGATGCCGTGCAGCATCTGCTATGCTGCAAAGGTGAGCAAACATGCCAGCTGCGCGCCTTCAGCACCATCGTCATCTGAATGGCACGTGACGGACCTCCTAATCTTACCTCCCTTACCTGTTCATCCCTTCCAACCTCCCGTGCTACACCAGGAGCATTTGGTTGCTGTCAAGGCACGGAACACGCCGCGCACGCCTGAACAGCAGCAATGGATCGTGAATGAGGCGGCTGGGTTGACATCAAGCCAGGCCGACCCATGCAAGACCTACTCGACCTACCCGGTTGAGGTGAGCAACCTGTCCCCTTCGCTAATTTGTAGTCTATGCACTCCGTGTTGCTAAACCCAGGGGGAGATGTGCACTGCCATTGCACTGCCCCACATGTTGGCCGAGTCTCTCATATACCCTTCTCTACCATTCCACACCACAACCCCTCCGCCAGTGTGTGCTGTGGAAGTGGGATGTCCCAGGGACCGTGTGGGGCAATCCCTACCTCGTTATCATGCCTGACATCATGCACCAGGCGGACCTGGGCATGATGAGCCACATTGTGGCTGTCGTGCGCAAGATGAAGAAGCGGCGCGTGAAGCAGATGGACAGGTCAGTGCCTTGGGGGATTAGTTTCTTGTCAACAACACTCCAATACGCACTCTCCTCCTACTTACATGTCTCTGCATTTGTGCCGGCCTTGAACTGTTGTGTATACGCAGGCGCCTGTCCCTCATTCGCGACCGCACGCGCCTGAACCACCTGCGCCTGCCAGAGAGCGCGTACTTCGAGAGTGGAGCATGTGTCGCGGCCTATGAGCACAGGGCCGTCATGCAGGTGTGCAAGCCATGGTGCATGTGATCATCTTGTGCGATAGCATGCACCATGCAGAAGCAGCTTGCCGGTTCTAGACTACAACACACCCCCTGCTGCATCTCAGTACCCTCTCTCCTGCTTTGCAACAATTCCGCCACCAAACCCGTTTGCTCAACTTCTCATGCCCCCCTGCCGTCATAAACCCCGCAATTTGCAGGTCATGGTGTTTGTCTTTGCTGGCCTGCTTCGCCAGCCCCAGATGGATGCTGTTCGTGCCTACCTTGGCTGGTACCTCTTGTGTTGCCAGCCAACGGGGCACACCGAGCGGTCCCTGCGGGATCTCAAGAAGAAGACCTCCCGGTACTATTAACATGCATGTACTAC